AAGTCTGAAACTCGCCGATGGCCAGATTGAAGATCCTAGATTCTCAATTGCACAAGCTTGTAAGCAACGAGGCTGAGCAAGACTGAACAAGGGGAACCATCCGACGACGGGAACACCATGCCCATCCGGAAGTCCAGCCGGCTCAACAGCCTCCACCGTGCTCAGATCTGGGAAGGCGGCGAGCACCTATTGGGCGAATCTGGGTGATGGTTCGACCACAGGACGAGAAATTATCATTGGACGACGGTAGCATCTACCACCACACTTCAGATCAAGCCCCGCCAGCATGGTGGTCGGATCTACCCGAGTCAGATCAACCATCTTGTGCCAAAACTCCAATGGGTTGGTAGATATCTATCTTTCACATGCCAAGTTGCAGTCCTTTGTTCCCATTCCCTTCGTCAAGCAATCTGATGCCTAGAGCTGACATGAGTAAGGTTGGTGATCTTAGCATTGAGTTTCTCCTTAATGAAGAAGTGATCTATATTCACATGTTTTGTCCTGTCATGTTGAACTGAGTTATTGGCAATGCTTATGAATGACTGATTGTCATACCACACTCTCAAGGTTCCCTTCCTCAGAAGTTTCAATTCTTAGTAAGTTCTTCACCCAGAGCATCTCACTCAACCCTTGAGACAATGCTCTATACATAGCTTCTGTTGTTGATCTAGACACAACTGTCTGTTTTCTTGCTTCTTCATGGCATCAAATTTCCTCTCACAAGCACACAATAGCTTGAAGTTGATGTTATGCCATCTTGAAATTGGCCCAATCAGGGTCACTATAGTCATTCACCTCAAGATGTCTACTCTTTGCAAACCCCAACTCTTTACCTGGAGTGCCCTTTAAATATCTCAGGATTTTGTGCACTCATGCCCATGTCACTCAAGACATTTAAGGTGTATTTACATTGGCACAAAGACATTTAGTGTCTGCACAAGAGAGTAGTAGGAAACAAAGAGCGAGGCATGGCATTCGCCGGTCATCCGGTTAGTTAACTGGACAACTAGCTATGCCCGGACGAATTTGCTCTTTGTACCGATGGACGTCTGACTTGCAGCTCGGCCGGCTGGCTATGCCCAGACGAAAAACACTCCCTGGCCAACTTGTCCGACCACTTTGTCCAGCTAGAATAAACCTACTAGAGTCATTTCCAACATTACCCAGTCTTCCGGCTAGCAGCCCAGACAATCGACCATTCAGTGTGTGTGTGTGCGCGCGCGCACGTGTGTGTGGGTGGGGAGGGGGATTTTGCTATGGTAAATGGTAGACTTTTTGTGTATCATTCGAGAGGAATGGTGTATAGAAGATCTACTGATAAAAATATCCTGAAGCCCTTTTGAAGTTTTGATCCCCTCTTAATAGTGTCGGATCCGTATAACTGAAGACATAACAGAAAAAGCAATGGTTCTTGTCGTCATTGCACCAATCTTGAGTGATAACCATTTTGGTGGGTTGATGATCCACACATATAATTTTCATGGGGACTAAAATTTGTGTATATACTTAGCAAACAAAATTAGTTCCCTATATCTATATTGTCATCAACATCAAAATATGATTAAGAGCATGATTGCACTTTTAAGCCCAGGAGAGCAAATGGTTACATGATTTAGACAGGCTCCACCTTAATGTGTGCACAACGGATCTTGACGTAAAACAAGATGCACATATTTACAGTGATACTTGAGAGAATTTACTCCCCCTATAAATCATATAACCACACAATGCACGCATTTGAACTATTTTTATAGTTATGATGGCCATCACAAATGCATTGGGTATCATGGTTTGGTTGAGAGCTATACTTGTACTGAAAATTTATGAACCATCGCATGAAATAGCCTCGCATCACATATAATTAATAATATGTCTCACAACCACATCCATGTAAGGCAGCATGCATAACACGTAGTCTCATACACCTTACAATAAGAAAAAAAAACAGGTTCCCATGCCACAAAGAACCAACCAAGGAAGAACCAAAAAAGGCATGTGACTTTACCAATACGAATACCGGTGAGGCACCCTAAGATACCACTTCTCCCCCTTTGGCATAAAGTACCAAAAAGGTTGAAGGAAACTACACGAAATCAAAGGAAATCACTTGTTGTTGTGGTCATCGAGGGCATCATCACCAAGCTTGTCGGAGTCACCCGAGCGAAGAAGTCTGCATAGTTGGGCCTAGTCAGGAAGCCAAAGTTAGGAACCAAGGGATCCCGAGGAGGAATCTCATCCCCACTCATGCGATTGCCGCCAGGAGAATGGAGACACGCCTTGAGCTGATTCACCTTGATGATATGTCGAGTCTCAAGTTGACTTTGTGAGTTGCATTGAATGTGCAATCTTCTGTGACGGCCTTCTGGGTCCTTTCTTTTTTTGTCTCTTGGAGATGCCCATAGGCTGCTGGAATATTGGGAAGCAAAGAAATGAGAAAGTGTATCATGATGAATAGACCAGCCTAGAAAGTTTGTAAAGAATCTTCAAATTAAGATGATCTTACTCAAAACATTCTCGAAATTAACCAGTTCTTGGGTACAACAAAATATGTAGACATGTTGGTCATTTGCCCCGGCCGCCACCCCCTCCCCCCTCTCCTCCACCTCGTCATCCCTGGAGACGTGCGCCGGCTAAACCCGGGCACCGCCGGTCATGGGGACGGCGGGGATCTAGGCTGCAGCCCCGCGGACTGGAGGGATCGGCGGCGCGAGATCGACCTTCGATCTTCGTCTTTCCCGGCGGTTCGGCGCTGCTCTGGTGGCTTCGTGGGGAGGGAGGATCAGGAGGGGATGTGGTCATGGTTGACTGGTCGGCAGCGCCTCCTGTCAGATCTGATCTGGCCGGTGTCGCTAGTGGTGGTGGCCATCTCCTCGGTCGGAGGTGGTCAGCCTGAGGCTGGATGTCAAATCTTGAGATCCGCCATCTAGTTCAGATTGCGAGTCGGGAAGACATAGTTGCCGGTGAAAATCAAGCCGATGGCAGGCGATGGAGGCGTTTTGCGTTGTTACCTTGATGAAGGCATCGTCATGTAACTACTATTGACCCACTCGTGTTGCTCCGGGGGAAACCCTAGGATCTAGGCTTCCAGATCAGACGATGGCGGTTCTGGGGTGTCGTTTTCTCTTTTGGGAGCATTGTTTGTGGAGCAGAGCTGGAAGATAGAGGCAAGAGGTGGAGCGGCTTCGTCTTGCAAGGATCTTTCGGTGGAGATGTCAAATCATGCCTGGCCGACAGGTGCTACGCTGTGTCATGTCTGGTCGGCAGGTGCTACGCACGACAGATCTTCCAGAATCTTCGCGTCTAGATGGACGAGCGTGGGACGGTGGCGCCGTTGGGCGCCATAGTGGCGTCGACGGATGGACCGACTGGCAAGGATGGTGCAGATCTTTCTCCAGAAGATAGGTCCGCGGTTCGATGATGATTGCGGCGTCTAAAACGTGTGCATGGGATGTACGCTTTAGGTCTGTTACACCGACTGTGTATTCCAATACGTTATGTGGATGGATCGGCAACGACACTAGTTTAGATATGGGAAGTGAGAGCACTCCACATTATCAAGTTTTATAAGTATGAGGGGTGGCTTCGGGTGGCTTGATGTATGGTCTTTTTAGACATATGTTGAATAATAAATAAAGATGGCCGTATGCATCAAATGATGCAGAGGCCGGTGGTCTTAACCTCCTTTTCCAAACAAAAAAATGATGGTCATTTGCATTGTATGGCTGTGTATTCCCTGGGTTGAATGGGCTTGGGAGGTATGCATGGATCTGATGAAAGACAACACACGTGGGGCGAAGAATAAGTGGATCCGGTAAGATCCTCTAAATTATCAGCACAGAATACAAGATCTCGATCAGATTCGTATTTTTATGCATATGATATAGCACATAATAGCATTGCGACACTGCACACCTGGGCCTGATGTCGATGAAGTTTGCATGGGTGCGAGTACCGGAGCATGATTCAACATGCATGGATGTGAGGACGCACCCACGTGGGGCCAGAAATTAATCGATTCGCTATGATCCTCCAAATTATCAGCACTACGCAAGCCTGGCCGCTCCATAGAATACAATATCTCGATCAGATCTACATTTTTTAAAGGAAAAATAAACAAACTAAAATGCATGGTAGAGTTTCATCGCCGCACCAACCGGCTTGCAGCTTCCTCCACTGGATAAATAAGACCCCTCATTTGCAAGCACACGCACACAATCGGGCAGTAGCATACATTGTAACATCAATCAAGTAGCTAGCCATGAACTCAAAGCTTTGCATCTCCTCCTCCCATCAACCATGGCATGGGTTCCACATCCATGAGAGTGCGACCGAGAGAGTAGCGCCACCAAGAGTTCACCTCATCAAGAAGATGTCCCATCCAAAAGTAAGCATCGATGAGTTCATATCCACACTCCCCCAGAGAAAAGGGTGGTCGCAACCACTCATCCAGTACAAGAACTTCTGGTTCAGAGGTCCGCCGCTGGAGCAGATCCTGCTGGCCCAGCACGCCTTCGAACCCCGCGCCGACGACATCATCCTCGCCACGCAGCCCAAGTGCGGCACGACTTGGCTCAAGGCCCTTGCCTTCACCATCGTCAACCGCTCTCGCTACAGCTTCGACGACCACCCCCTCCTCACTAGCCACCCTCAGCGCGTCGTGCCATTCATCGAAATCCCTGGTGTTGGCGGCGGCGGCGCGGATCATCATGCACACATCGAGACGCTTTCTTCCCCGAGGCTTCTCGCCACACACATGCCCATGTCGCTGCTCCCACTGGACATGAGCTGCCGAGTCGTGTACGTGTGCCGGGATCCCAAGGATGCCCTGGTCTCAAGGTTGCACTTCGAGAACAGAATCACCAAGGGTTCCAACCTGTCGATGGAGAGTGCTTTCAGCATGTTCTGCGAGGGCTTCTCGTCTTACGGCCCCTTCTGGGACCACTGCCTCGAGTACTGGAAGGAGAGTCTAGCCAGGCCTAACAATGTTCTCTTTTTGAAGTATGAAGAGATCAAGTCGGATCCGGTGCAAGTTCGTGCGGAGGCTAACAAAATTCCTCGGCGTCCCGCTGTCTCGAGAGGAGGAGAGATCTGGTGTTGCCCAAGAGGTGGTCAGGTTGTGCAGCTTTGAGATGCTTACTAGCCTACAAGTAAACCAGGTGGGTGGCATTGATCGTGGAAACAAATGTTATGTAGGTAATTCTATGTTTTTTAGAAAAGGAAAAGTTGGAGACTGGAGGAACCACATGAGCCAGGAAATGGGGGAAAAGTTAGACCGCATCGTCCGAGAGAAGCTCCAGGGATCAGGGCTCGCGTTTTGAGTCACGTTGATTTTGTTACTTTACAACCGGTTTCCTACTTATGCTCGTAAGGAGCCATGTTGCATTCTGTTTCAGTCTTGGAAATGAAGACAGATTTAACGTTAACATCATGTTCTCTCCAATCTTTGCTATTCACTTGTGTTGATGCTAGCTATTTCAACGTTGAAACAAGGAATCGTAATATTTGAAGCGAGCTGTCTAATCGGACACAAAGCTCGTATATTATTTGATAAAATAGCTAGCACAGTGGTTACGCTCAAATGCGCGGACAACAACCTTATTGTTTATAGTATGCACCTGTGAATAAATTGCCATCTCATGTGTATTGTGAAAATTTTGGTAACCAAAACAAAGATACTATAGGTATGTGATTCTATCCTTGAGCTCTTGGCCTATAATTAAAATATGTGTCGTTTTCAGTTATTTTTTGAAGTTATGTTTTGTTTGGTGTGTATTTGAGTATGGCACCCCGTGCTAGTATGCCAACTATTAGCGGCATCCTTTCTCTCAGAGATTGTGCACATTACACATACATAAATGTCTCTTTGTGATTTAAGTTATATAGTAACCTTTACATTCCTGAAAAGGCATATCAATAGAGTTAGCTGCTTTATGCATATATATAGTTCCTTAAAATTGTACAATCCATGTGAGATAGCCTACGGTGACATGAAGATCAATTAGACATCAAACACTTCAAACAATGTACAAGCAGACCACTACATTACCTTGCTGATCATGGTTATTATACTTATTATAAATCATAATAACATATTGTTGCTAATATTATTCTTATAAAAAATAATTACTGAAGCAAAAATTACTAGCTCTGTAATTTTTGTGTAAAGACAGTTTGAATCATCATGTAATTAGTACAAGACTAAGATGTTGCTCACGCATGTGTGCAGGCCACAGCGCTTGTTATAATAAAATAAGCATACATGCAAACATTTGGATGCATAGTATTCCATCGATAAAATAATGGAACCGCGACACTGGTAATTATAAGTTTTTTTTTCGAAAAGGTTAAAATTGGGGGAGAATTTCATTTCCCCGGCCTCTGCACCAATTAGGGGTGCATACGGCCATTTTAATATGGGTACCAAGATAAACATGGTCCTCAGAATTTATTAAATGAGTATCAAGATATTTTTTTGATGAGTGGTTCCACCACACATCAAACTTGCTTCTCAATAAATGGGGGAAAACCCTGTGCATCACCTGTCAATTCTAGGAATTGAACTCGGGTCGTTAGGCTGCACAACCGCATGCCCAACCACTGAACCAAGGCTCTCTTTGCTGTAAAACTGGGGGGAAATTTCACTTCCCGGCCTCTGCACCAACTAGGGATGCATACGGGCCTCTGCACCAACTAGTAATTACATGGTGAGTTGAGAGACATAACAAAATGTTCGGTGAGTGGATGTGCAATCTCACCACCCGAGTTAAACTCATCACCCACGCGATGTACAAACAAAGAAAATATTTAAGATATTGAATATTACTAAATTAATACTATAATGTAGAAAATGATAATGGCAATTTCTTTCTTCTTTGCAGGTAAATGTCAATTATTATTATCTATAGAAAACATAGAAACATAGTTGCTGGAGACATTTCCTCTATCCTCTAATATTTTACAAGTAAATACTTTCCATACATAACTAAAATACTCAGTAGGTTGTAAAATTAATACATTCTTTTTTTAGGTAAAAATTAATTCTATATCCTTGGTATAAGAGCCCTCTGAAGTTGGGAAGTGTTAGATGTGCTATCATCTTATTTCCCATCCTGTCCTATAAAACTACCACCTAGCATAAGCATCCAAAATCACTCAGCCCATCGATCGCGATCACGTATATTGCCACATATCATCACTCAGCTACTGATCATCGAAGACGAGGTAGAATCTAGCAGCTACTAAGCAATTACCAGATGGGCAAGAAACTGTTGTTCATGGCCATCCTTCTCATCCGTAAGTGTTCGCTAAGAGCCAGCTAGTGAATCTTCGATGAATTTTGTTCAAATCTCGTTCTTCATATGTGCAGTGGGGGCGGCGACGATGGCGGCGCGGGCGAGCTGGTGTGCGACGTGCTGAGGGCAGAGTGCATGGTCAAGTGCTGGCAAGGGACGGGCAAGTGCATGCGATGCTGCCAGGCCCTGGGCTACGTCCACGGCAGGTGCAACCTCGTCCGCGGCGACGTCTGCTACTGCTGCAACGACGACGGCGCACCTCCCTCCCCGCCCGCACAAGAGCGACACGGCCGGCTACCATAGATCCTCCTCCTTCTCCTCACTTTATTTCTGTACGATGGATGGAGCGAACTGACTCGTGGACGTCGTCTGTGGTCAAGTTCCCAACAAATGGATCTGGTCTGTCTTTTAACATTATGCAAATTTAGAATTGTGTGACGTTAACTTTATTTTTAGAAATGCCGCATAAATTTTTTTGTTGAGCTGGAAGAGAGAACGAAGAAATTAAATGTCTCCTTCTACAACTCCCATTTTCAATTTTGTGGTCGACCTCATTTCAGTCTTCCAACGCGCTCACCCCCGATATCTTGTGATTGGGGGGAGTGGGAGGGGGTAGGTGGGGAGGTTTGCATCAGTGCCAACACTATATGTGGTTCTCACTAGGGTTTTGCATGCGCGGAGAGTCGAAGAGTTAGAAATAGTTCACCTCTCACCCTTCTCCTCCTCCTCCCACGCGTCTCTATTCTCAGATGTAATGGGTAAAGAGAGAAAGTTTGAAATGGGAGAAACTAAACACTGAGCAAAACCCAAAATAAAATTAACCAATTTTTGTGTTTTTCCTGTTGGTAACACAAAATTTTGTTTCTGGTCAGCTATCGAATTACCTTTTTTAGAGAATGCCGAATTAGCATTTGTTAATTCAATTCTAAGCTAAGGTTAACCAAAAAATCAAAGTACTATCACTGCCATAATGTTAAAGCCCATTGATTTGATAAAGGCCCAAGTCCTGAAAGCCCATGGAAAATTA